ATCTCCTGCCATAGACCCTTCAAGAGGTTGGCATATTCGGTGACTGACCGATTACCCTGTTTGGTAGCGGAGATTTTGATCTTGATCTCATAGATCTGTGCAGCATCACGTACTTTGGAATAGGTTTGCTTGACTGCTTCCCATATCTCCTTGGCCGTGCTCAAAAACATACAAGTGTCGCTGATTTCTGGTAACATAGAGTTCCATAACCATGACATAACCATAGAGTCTTGTTCATCCCAAGCATCAAACTTAGGATCCTCCTTCTCTGGACCATTACCAAGCAAGTGGCTCAGTTTCCCTCTTCCTTTCAAGAACATGCGGACCATTTGAGACCACTTCAGATAATTTTTCCCGTTCAACCTATACGCTGCCTGGATATTCTGCAATTCTTCTGTTGGGACAGAGCCGTTGCTTCCAGTTACAGGAATCTCTAAAGTGTTGCTTGTTTCAGTAGATGTTGACATGATTTAGAGAGAGAGATGGAATCCACAGGTTTGATAACACTGGATTTTCACAAAACAAGAACACTAGGAAAAAAGAACTAGCAAAGAAGGCCAAGAGAAGACGATTACCCAGAAAACGAGCCTAGAGCTCTGATACCGTGACCAAATTATTGAAATTGGTAATCGAATCAATTGATTAAAGAATTGGGAATACACTCTTATATATACATCAGAATAATGCTATTCTAGGAAGCTAATGAAAACTGATCCCTAGAAATCAGGGATTGCAATAACTAATAAATCTCTAGCTATTAACAGCTTGTAGCCTGTAAATGTCTAGCTATTAACAGCAGCCTGTACACAACCAATAAATCCCTAGCTATTAACAGCCTGTACACAACTAATAAATCTTATTTTCCCACAAAATATTGTCCAACCTCTATTGGAAAAAATAGGCATTTTTTGGGGGTTTTTTTGTCAGGCACGTTTGGTGAGTTAAGAGGGGGCTGGGTTGCACAAAAATTTTTGGGGTGGAAGGTCTTAAACTCTTGTCCACATAATTTCAATTACAACAAAATTTAGTTCTACGCAAACAAACGCGCCTTTAGATCCCCTCGTACCCCTTCCCCAGCCCAAGTGGCCCTATTATCACTTTTCTTTCTCTTTCTTTTCCAGTTCAAATAACATAGAATAGGATTAAAATGACCAATGTAAATATGCCATATCAAGAATTTTTATCACTTTGGACATTTGTCCTTATAGACCTCCTCCTTAGACTTGAACTCATTTTCTCCAACACAACATTTTCAAAGCATGTTGGAACTTATTTCATAAAATAAAACCATATGAAACTTCAGAATGGATTAGTCATGGATAGCCTATGAAAGAAATAACTGTAAACAGATATATGGGTAGACCTGCCGTGGTGGCACAAAGATCCAAAAGCAAAAAAAGGGCATCACCAATGAACTATTCATCATAATTGAAAAGGTAATTAGGACTTGATAATGATTGTGGGGGTATATTTGTTGCCTAGACATCAGAAGGAGCAGAAATGTGCATTCCTCAATCTTTTATGGAAACCATATTATAAATTTCAGAATACACCCATTGGGCATTAAAACTTCAACACTTGATTAGTACCATAAAAAGGCAAGTGAAACAAAATAGTCACTGTACAAAACTTCCTATTAATGAAAATCATGGCATTCTACAAAAGGTACTTTGTTTCCTTTAGAAGTAGCATGCCTCCCACAGATTATTTCAGAGCTAAAAATATCGATATTGTGGACAATGCAATTCCTGGAGTGTTAACAATTTATTTGGCAAACCTTGAATAACAAAATTTGTTACATTTTGATTTTAACGTGCATGGAACAATGCCACCAACTTCAGCTTTTTAACCTCCTTAACGAAAGTCTAACGAATCTAATAATCTTGATTTTAAATAAATATCATCTTAGTAATACATTTTCTATTTCACAATTGCAGATCTCATCATGCTCAGATCGCCGTCTACTATATTAACCAATTATACTTTCTGGTTTTATCGGTACTAACATTCTAATTTGCATTGTTTCCAAAGCTACAATACTTGTGTGATATCAGAATAACTTATTAGTTTTTCTTCCCTCTAAATTCCATTAAACTTTTTTTTTTTTCCTATTTGGTACTCACATACACATACCTCCACTGAGGTTCGAACCCCTGACCTCCCTTTGGGAAATAGGGGCCTAGTCCATTAAACTTTGTTCAGCATTGTAAAAGTGGTCCGTTAACAACTACTGTTACAAATAATTATATATTTTTTTTTTATTGCAGCACCAGATGTTAGAAGGAACTATTTATCTTTGAGAGAAGTACTTAACAAGCCAAACATCCTCAAGAAAAATTAAAAGGTACTTGGTTACTGCTTCCAGGGGTTTGAGTATATTATGTTTTCTGTTGGTCCAGATTTTTTAAATTACATAACTTCAAATTGAACATCTTTATTTTTAAGATTGTAATAGACACAAAAATAAAAATAATAGAAAATGAAAAGTAAAAAAGGAATCAACAAAACAGCAGCAGGAAAAAAGGAGGAAAAAAAGGTGGTCCAAATCAGGTGAAGATATGTTGGTCCCATGAGGAGAGGAATATTGATTTGCATAGAACGAAAGTGACAAAGAGGTCGACCTAAACTAACATGGAATGAATTGATAAGAAATAATTTCAAAAAATTAAAATTAGTAGGAGATATGGCTTATGATAGAAAAGAGTGAAAAAAGAGAATTCATGTGGCCTACCCTATTTGTACAGGATAAAGGCAGATTATGAAGATGGCGATATTTTGGTCCTGTGAATCTTTGTAGGCCTGCAGTTGGGATTAAACAAAAAGCATCAATGACAATGACAATGGAGTGCATGAAAGTAAATAAAGTATTTTCTAGACTTGTTTCTGTTACTGCTCTAACCCTCTTAAGCAAAAAGAATCAATGACAATGGCCTGCAGTTGGGATCATACAAATAAATAAATCAACAACAACAACAGTATGGACGGCATTAAAGTAAATAAGTGAAATATTGGTGTATAAATTTGCCCATGACTTAAAAGGTGTTAGGCTTAGAATGGGATCTGTTAAGGACTGTCATAATTCCAGCTTAGGCCTTAAAGTTATAAAGGAATGGAACACTATATAGTTCCATGTAGGTTTTTTGCTTGTACATAGGGAGGTATGCCTCTCTTTACCTCTTGCACCTTTTTCTTGTTTATGATATGGCTCAATTATCAAAAAAAAAAAAAATTGCGCATGATTTGTGTGTATACTGCATCACCTCCATTTCCCTTCATTATTCAGCAGGTATGTTTTTGCTCACCTTGTTAGCTTCCACAGCATTCCAATACCAATGTAGCACAAATATGATCTCAAGACTATTGAGTTCATCTTCAACTTTCTGACCTCCTTAACAAGCTGTAACCAATCTAATAAGCATCTTGATTTTTAAAATAAATATCATCTTAATATAATATTTTATAGGGTTAATTATAATGACACCCTCTGAGGTGTGAGTGTAACACGAAGGAAACATATAGGAGCATTCTAGATAATGGAGGCTTATGATGTGATTTAAACAGCTAAGCAAAGTGATCCGAGATGTTCGATCGCCATTTGTGAGGAGCTATTCAACTTGAATAATAGATCTGAGCTCACATGCTCTGTTAGAAATCATTTTTCGTTTAAATTTTCAGAACAAATTCACTAGAAATTACCTATACACACACAACAAATAAAATCCAAAAATTAGATCAAAATGAAGTGAAATTACCTGAGACATCTCGAAGACCAGAGACTCGTGATCGTGGACATCAGACACCAAAGAGCAATGACGATCAATACAGAAATTGGATTCAACGGTGAGAGAGAGAGAGCGAGAGAGAGAGATACAAGAAGGTTCCAGATGGGCATAGCACATATCAAGTAAGGGGCATTGATTTGCATGCGTAATTTTACATGACTGCCCCTCACAGTGCTGTTTAAAAACGTTTTTGCAGCGATTATCCTATTCTTAAAATTTGTGCTATCTAGAAAAAAAATTTAAAGCAATCTGACATTACTGCTGCTAAATGTCTGCTACTATTTCCTTTTTTTATTGTTGTGAATCTACCTATAATTAGGCCTTATCTTACCCTATTTTCTATTTCATAATTGCAGATCATTTCTATCAATGAAGCTCAGATTACCATCCACTATATTAACTAATGGTTCTTTCTGGTGTTACCAGTACTATCAGAGACATACTAGTGGGGTTTTTTTTTTTTTTTTTTTTTTTTTTCCTATTCTAGTGGTTATCAAGGCACAAAATGCATGTTAGAAGGAACTATCTTATCTTTAAGTGCTGAAAAAGCCAAGTATCCTCAAGACACTCAGCATAGTTTATGCACAAAAATAAGTATTGAAAACAAGATTTCTAGTGTGAACAAGATTTAAAAAGGTATTTTCTAGTGTGAACAAATAAAGGAAGTCTTGTAAGTGGTCTGGAAAACAAGATTTAAAAAAGGATTTTCTAGTATGAACAACTAATTAAAGGAAGTCTTGTAACTGCTCCGGAAAACAAGATTTAAAAAAGGATTTTCTTGTGCGACCAACTAAAGGAAGTCTTGTAACTGCTTCAAGGGGTTTAAGTCAGGTGAACATATCATGATCCATCAATCTTCTGCAGGCCTACAGTTGGGACTTGGGATTAAACAAAAATAATAAAAAACTATAGGTGGCATGAAGTTAATAAAGTGTTTTGTTGACTTGATTCTGTTTCTACAGAGCTTACTCAGTCTCAAATCTTTGAAAACACTATGAAAGGTGCATAAATTTTCCCATGACGTGTGTGTAAACCTCATCACCTCAATTTACATTCATTATTATTCTAATGAAATATTTTGATACCAGTAGCACAACAAAAATGATCGTAAGGCTATTAAATTCATTTCCCATTCTCTTCTTCATTCTACTCCATACAAGCTTTATTTTATTGGCCTCAAATGATAAAGCTAGTACCGTTTTTGGCTTAACAAACGAGATGGACAGACCAGCCTTGCTAGCCATCAAGGGTCAAATTCTTGAGGACCCCTTCACGGCCTTTAGGTCATGGAATGATTCTATCCACTTCTCTAATTGGCAAGGTGTTATTTGTAGTCGTCGGAATGAGAGAGTGACCATCCTAAACTTGTCCTCCCTAAACTTGGTGGGTTCAATTTCTCCTCATATAGGAAACCTTACCTTCCTTAGAGAGATTCATTTTGACAACAACATCTTCAATGGCACCATCCCCCTAGAAGTTGGTAGATTGTATCGGTTGCAATATCTTTGGCTTGGTTATAACTCTTTCCAAGGTGAGTTCCCTACCAATTTGACTCATTGCTTAAACATCAAAGTCATCAGCATGCATACTAACAATCTTGTAGGAAAAATTCCTAGAGAGGTAGGCTCATTGGCCAATCTCTTAGAATTGCATCTTTACAAGAATCATCTCACTGGCAATTTACCACCTTCACTTGGGAATATCTCTGCTCTTCGTAAACTTACTCTAAGCTTCAACAATCTGGAGGGAAACATTCCTTTCCAACTTGGACAGCTTTCCAACTTACAGTCTCTTCAATTGGGTGCTAACAATTTGTCCGGTGAGGTTCCTACCCCACTTTACAATATCTCATCCATCAATCACTTTATCCTATCTATGAATGAATTTCATGGATATCTCCCTCCAGATTTTGTGTTGAACCTTCCAAAATTACAATTATTTTATTTGGCTCTCAACCGATTGTCTGTGCCCACTCCACCATCATTAGCCAAAGCTTCAAATCTAATGGAAATTGATATTCCTGGAAATGCTTTTACTGGCCCTATGCCAATGAATTTGGGAAGCCTTCGTTATCTCGAATGGCTGAACTGTGCTCATAACTCACTTGGAAGAAATAAAGATAACGACTTGGATTTTATCAATTCTTTAATGAATTGTACAAATCTAAGAGATCTGTACTTAACTGGCAACGTTTTGGGGGGTGTATTTCCCAATTCCATTGTGAATCTATCAACAAAGCTCGCTGCATTATGGATGGATGGAAACTATATATAGGGAAGCATACCAGTGGGTATTGGAAATCTCATTAATTTAGAGGTTTTAGCATTGAGTGAGAACATGCTCACAGGCAGCATTCCTGAATCCATTGGTAAACTTTCCAAGTTGATAGAACTCTATATTCACACAAATAATATTTCAGGAAAAATTCCAACATCTATTGGCAACATTTCTCAATAAAGTTTGCTTTCCTCAACAGAAAATATGCTAGAAGGAAGCATACCTGTTTCTTTGGGGGATTGCAAAAGCCTACAAGAATTAGCTCTTGAATATAATCGCCTCACTGGTCAATACCTGGACAAGTTCTCAATCTTTCCTCCCTTTCAATCGGTCTCTTCTTAGGTTATAATCATCTAACTGGACCATTATCTCCACAAGTGGGAAACTTGAAAAACCTTGTAGAGTTGGGTATTTCAGGAAACAAACTTTCAGGAGAAATCCCAAGCACTATTGGGAATTGTATAGTTTTGCAATTATTGCACATGGACGGTAACCTTTTTGAAGGAACTATACCATCACCTTTGAAGCAATTACGAGGCATTGAAGATCTAGATCTTTCTCATAATAATTTGTCTGGGGAGATTCCAAGGTTTCTAGGAGAGTTTCCATTCATTCAAAATCTGAACCTTTCATATAACACATTTGAGGGTGAAGTTCCATCTGAAGGATTGTTCATGAATGCAAGTGCCTTTTCAGTTGTGGGAAATAACAAGCTATGTGGATGAATCAAGGTATTGAAAATGCCTGAATGTCCAGCAAAAGTCACTTGTAAAAAAGTAAAGCTCTCAGGTCATGAAGAAGTGACAATTGTTGTAATCAGTATCACTCTTTTGGTTGTTTTGTTAATAGCATGTGTTTGTGCTATTCTTTGTCGAACCAAAATGTCAATAGGAAAATCCTATTCAGATTGTCAATTGGAAAGTTGGTATCCAACACTCTCAGAACTTCTTCAAGCTACCAATGGATTCTCTTCAGGCAACTTGATTGGTGAGGGGAGATATGGTTCCGTTTATAAAGGAATTCTCAATTTTGATGAAGAAGTTGTTGCTGTAAAAGTACTCAACCTTGAACAACATGGAGCCGACAAGCTTTTTTTGGCTGAATGCGAAAGATTGAAGAAAATTTGACACCATAATCTCCTCAAGATCATCACAGCTTGCTCAAGCATATGTTTTAAAGCAAACAATTTCAAGGCTTTGGTCTTTGAGTTTATGCCAAATGGGAGTTTAGACAGATGGTTACACCCAAGTTTCTCCGAAATGCAGAATTCAAAGTGCTTGGATCTCTAACCACGAGGCTATACATTGTCATCGATGTGGCCTCTGCATTGGACTATCTTCATCATCATTGTGGAACAACAATCATTCATGTGATCTAAAGCCAAGCAATGTTCTTCTTGATAATGAGCTATGTGCTCAAGTAGGTGATTTTGGTCTGGCGAGATCTCTTCTAACGTATTGTAAATCTGATCATATACAACCTACTTCAACAAATGTTGTTAGAGGGACAATTGGGTATGTCGCAACAGGTAATCGTCTATCATATATATACCAACTTTATACATTTCAATATGCACTCTCCCATTTCATTTGTTAGAAATATTTATTTAGATATGGACCATCGTGAAATTGGATGGTAAAAATAAATGAAACTTATCTATGGGATTGGAAGATGACTCTCTTTTGCATAACTAGGATGAGCATATTGAAATTTTAGTATTTCACTGCAGTGCAATGTCCCAAAAAACTATTTAGAAGTTAGAATATATAGAGGATATTACGATTTTAGCATTGCGTTAATTGTTTGGAATTGTAAAATATGGTATGGGCACTGAAGTTTGTTCTGCTGAATTTCTAAGAGAACAGATGGAAATTAGGGATGTTCTAATGGAACTACACGTGATTAAAAACAATTTTTTTGCTGAAGGAAGAGGAAGCGTAGAAGAAAGATGGAAAGAAAACATTTACAACTTATCATGTAATGTGTGATGTTGTGGCCCGAAGTTTGTTTCAGCCTTTGGGTGGGGGGGGTGCGCCGGTATATAAGTGCGTCTAGGGTTTGGAGTAGGATCACGAGAGAACACTGAAAATTTCAGGAAAGAGAGTGGTAAAGAGAACTAGGGTTTGGGAGCTGAAACTTATAATCTTCTGTTTTTTCGCAAAGGACCTTATGTGTACTATTCATTATTCAATGAATTCAATATACAGTTTCATTAGTTATATTCCTTCAAGTTGGTTTCGACATGTTCAACGAAAATCAGACCTGGTAATGTTGGGGAAATTAAAATTAAAATTAGCATGGATGTGAACTTGCGATAATAACAAAATTTACAATAATATGTGGTTTAGGTGAAGTCATGAGCTTAAGAAATAATAAATGTGAAACAGGATTCACCCATTCAATTCCAAATAACTATAACAAGACGTTTTAGGTAGAGCTGAATTTTGTTTCAGGAAGTTATATATGTTGGCGAAATTTTTTGTGACACCTACAAAATTCTACTTTAACCCAAAAAAAAAAAAAACCAAGGATTAGTGTTTTTTTTTTTTTTTTTTTTTTTTTTTTCCGGTGTTGACAAATAATGCACCTGCCCATTGTGGGAAATTGAAGATATACCATTGGGTTTCAACCTAAGTCACATAAAGCAGACCAGGTGAGGGTGGCAAATGCAACAAAATCTAAATCACACACGGTGAGAATGAGAGCGAGAACGGGGGCAAGAGCAGGACCCATTTAGAAGAATTGCGTGATTTAGGAAAAAAAAACTTCTGGGAGCCCATTTTATGGTCGGGCCGTTCGTATAATATACACAATGATTGGATGTGTGCAAAGAAGGGTATATTTCAACTGTAAAACCATATGCCAGATTCACATGAATAACATAAAATATAGATATATATTGATCAAATACAAACTATTGAAGCAAACAGATAATAATTTTGCATTGCAATTAAAGCAGAAGACATGGATTCATAATTTGAAATAAACAATTAGAAACCAAAAAAAAAAAATAGAGTTAAAGAAATCTTGCCTGAAAGAGATGGTGAGAGTGAAGGGCAATTGAAGCATGACACAAGTCCACATACATGCGCACAATTCAAGAAGCCTTGTGGTTTCAAGAATTGGTTAGTATACTATTGTTCTTATGGGACAAAGGAACGTGATTGTGAGACACCCAATAGAGCAAGGCGTATCTAACAATGGATGAGATTGATATTTGATACATCCAAGAGTCATATCAAACTTCCGAAACTTCCATCATTTAGTGAGTCGCTCGTGGCTTTGGGGGGAAAGATTATTGACTTTTGGATATGCTTCCGTCTATATATACACGATATTATGGTGGACCCATTTCGTAGCTCGCATGAAGTGACTTGAGAAGCGAACTGCCCTATTTCCAGAATTCCTTAGGGAGGGAAAGGGAAAGAGAGAGCCTGTCGCTATAGCCGTTGAATGAAGTTTTAAACCATCTTCAATTATGTAGATAATTCTGCACGGATTTAAGTTGGCGGGTGACGCCAAAAGTCACACGTTTGGTTGGAGGGAAAAATTAGATAGAAGGGAGAGGAGAAGGGATTGGATGAAGCATTTTAGAAAGGTCAAAGTTTTTTCCTCATTTTTTATTTGATTGAATAGAATTGGTAGGATAATATTTTTTTCTTATTTGGTTGGAAGAGAAGAATTTTCATATTCTTTTTATTAATATATCCTTATTATATATAATTATAAAAATTAAATATTCACTTCAAAATTTTAAAAAAGTTAAAAATTATAAATTACTTAATAATTGTCAGAACCTCATCTTTTCTTTCCTCCAACTAAACACGAAAACATTCTACCATCCCTCATTAATCCTTCCCTCAAACTAAACCTAGCGTAACACGTTGGGTAACTTTAATTTTTTCAAACTCTGATTTTATTTGACTTAGTTATGCGTGCCTGAGCTACCATTGTGGAGGGTGTTATTGTATTTTTACACTTTTTTATGTAGTGTGGACAGTGGTGGTCATTCTCAGTTTCTGTAATTTTGTTTTACTCGTGTTGTTAGATGTGTGTGGCTCCGTAGGCCTAAGAGTTTGGTGAAACATCTAAATCCTTGTTCCATATTCTATTATTAATTTTTATTTTATTTTTTCAAAAATTTAAGCAATTGATATAGAATTTTAGAAATATATACAGAGTGGGCCTTTGGCCATACAGCCCAACAAAAGGACCCAGAAGCCCGAAAGAGAACAGGCAAGAAACAAGGGCCAAGCCCATAAGTGGGACAGCCCAATACAAGAGAGTTGGTACAGCAAACCAACAAAAAAAAAAAAGGGCAATTAACGGCATGATTAGTCGTTAATGGAGATTTTGTCCACCCTCCGGTGAAGAAACCCTAGCCTGTAAGATGGCATCGACGGCGGCGACGGTAACAAAGATTTAGTAGATACTTGGTAATGTATAGATGCAACGGAGGTGAAGCTAATCCATAAAATTTATAGAAACGTAATCTGTTTATATATATATATATATATATTTCAGAATATTGAAATTGATATGTTATTAATGGACAATGAATGTATAATATGCTACGTTACATATATTTATTAAGTTCCAAAATAATAATGCTTAAAGTTTACCTCATTACATTTCTCACGAGTTTTTCTTTAAATTAACGTACTTCAGGGGAAAAAAAATTTTAATGCACAAATTATATCAAAGTGAAATTATACAAGACGATCAAAGTTAATAAGGTAATTTGGTAAAAAAATATATATATATATAATTTTGATTCATTTATGTGATCTACCATAAATGAATTTTAATTTAAAATTTGACTATATAATCCTTTTTCAAACAGCTAGATTCTCTCAAAATGTACATAATCATAACAAAAAAACAGACCTCATCAATATTTGTACATAATCATAACAAAAAAAACAGACCTCTTCGTACCTTTATTCTAAACACGGTTTCAAGCAATTATTTTTTAATAACTAATCTAAGTTAACTACCAAATTTTAGAATCAACTGGACTTTGTTTAGACATCCAACAAAAATATCACATTGAAAAACATGCCCTACAACAGTCTAGAACACGTCTTTGATGCACATAAAGTGATTTATCACATTTGAATAAAATCACTTACCATTGAATTGATCTCAATGCTTCATAAACTTGCCTCAGAGTGGTTTTTAGAACTTTTACCATACCTAAAAATTGATTACAAGAAATGATGACGAATGTTTTCCCAATTCAACTCATATATGAAACGGTAAATAACTAAATGTAAATTTAATTTACATGACCTAATTTTGCTTGCGCTAGTACTAATTTAACACATAATAAATGTTATCATGCCATCCTCTGAAAAGCATGTGGCACCTTAACCCATAAGTAAAAACAGAAGTTCAATGTTTAAGAAAAATTAAAAATCCTCCTAACTCAGAATCATTTTAACACTAGACAGAGAGCACTGGCATTCAAAAATTTCTACACAGGCTGCTGCATGAGAGGCTAGTTTCCATTTCCACCGCCGGCCATTGTAGCCCCGTCTGCGATCACAGAGTTCAAAAAGAGAGGAGGATGATCTGATCCAGACACTTCTGACGAAGCTGAGTCTGAATAATTTACTGGATGATCAAATTTACAAGCAGGTCCAAACTTGCAAATGCCATACCGGTTGTAGTGTGAGCAGATGTTTTGATCCTGGATTATGAATACACTCGTTAAAACAGTAATACAGGCATCACATAACAGCCTATTATTCTGAATACATATTAAATACGAAATTGTTAATTAAGAGAAAACAAAGGCTTAGTATGTAATGAGTAGAAAATAAAATTTAGTGAAGAGATATTCCAACGTTGGACCAGCCATATATCCTTCTAAGCTCTTGTCAGTAAATACTTGATGCGAGAAGGATCAGAAATATATAAATAGCATATTTACATAAAGTCATGGCACAACATTTTACATTATTCTTTTTTTTTTTTTTTTTTTTTTTTTTTTTTGATAAGTAAAAGTCATTTCACAACATTATACTTCTGTCCTCAGACAAAAAAAATATTTCAATAAATACCCACCTAGAAAATCTAATCTCATACCCTTGATAGATACCTCTTCTATAAACAGCATATTTATGGAAGGGAGAGCAAATGTATGTCAAACTGCAATTGTTGATTCAATTGCTCCATCATGTCCTTTCTCTGAAAGAAATGATTTTTAATAGCACCAAGGGGTGCCGGAACAAACAAAAATCACATCAAAATGGTGAATTCATTTCCATCATTTAGAGAAAATGTATAGATTGCGTCCAGTGTTTATTTTATTGTAGCTCCATATTAAAATCAGGTCTATTAAAGCACTTCCAAAGTCTAGGTCCATTTTCCAAAGTCTGTCATCCTGAAAAACAAGGACTAGAAGTTACGGGCAAACTTACAGGTCTTAGTGGCAGGCCTTTGTCACTGAGATTGCACTGGGTTGTCTTTGGTATCCGGCTCTTTGGATGATGAAATTTGCATCCAGATCTAAATTTACAGTCTCCAGTTTTCATGAAGTAACTGCAATCAGGTTGACCAGGTCGTTCAGGATAATCTTCAACTACCATTTGCCGTTGATGATTTGCATAGAAGTTGGTTTCAATCACTGTACTGTTCATGGCAAATGCTGGAGGCGTAGGCAGACTCCTCTCTGATATTGGGTATGCAGGAGCCTTAAAAAGGCAACAGACAAGTTTTATTAGAGAAGACAGCACTGTAAATGAAAGGTTCAATCTTTTTTACTCATCTCTTATTAACATCTGTGGATATATGAGAACCGTGAGAAGTAAGAAAAGAAGAAATTAACACTCCGCGTAGAAACAGCATTGAGGGGGAATATATTTGTATGTATCCAGATAATGATACTCTTCACACAGGAAGGCCGGCCCCTGCCCATCTGGACATGCACATTGCACACCCATTTAGGATTTAGGAGCATGTGCAAAGGGGTAAAGAGATAAGTCAATGGAGATCTACCAAATCCAATGACTTTGATTTGTTCGTACCATTCTGTCATCGATCATTGCAGGGTCGGTTGGTGAGTCACCCAAAAAAAGTATCAAGAAAGGTCAAGCATGCATATATGTTTTATGAAATAATCATCGGTCTCATTTAAGCTATATGCCGCGCTAATAGGTACACTTTGATTTTGACCTATCATTTCCAATTTAAGATTTAATGGATTTCAATCAATTGATCAGTCAAGTATATACGCAAACAATCTCAAAAATTAAACACATAAGACTCACTTGTGAAAATTACAAGAATAAAAATGCTCATAGCTCAAAAATCCATTATAAGTAAGTAGCTCACAGTCCAGATAACCATTCAATTATGGCGACATTCATTTGCCCATAACTTCCTCTGCAGGTACAATCAGTAACTTTAGTTTGATCTACCCAAACTCTGTTCAAAGGTCTACAGGTCATACATAAGCTAGATTGGTCTATTAGCTACAATGCGTATAATCATTGATTCACATTCGATTGATCAACCATTCAATCATTTCAGGTAGCCAACTGGTAAAAATCCAAAATAACCAAACATATTTAATTTAATCAATTCATTATCCGAGTGCTCACTAGGTTTTGTGTAGGTCAACTAATCTGACCATTAGCCATTGTAACACCTAGTTCTCTTAGTTACTTACTAACACCTAATGTGCAATCAAATTGTTGAATAATCACTGTTCATGTATGCATGATTAGGCCATTAACCTTCATTTACGGTGTGAACACTTGATATTCCTGATTACATGACAACTCAAACAACATAACTGAATTTTTTTCACGGAACATGACACATGTAATAATGCTCTAATATCACTTATATTAAAGTACCTATTTTAAAATAACTTCTTATTTTTCTTCATTTTTTATACAGGAGTTTAAATTTGTGAACTCGCTCCATAACGTCATTTCAAGAGACCATGAACAGTACAATCTGTGACTAATGCATGGTAAACATCATAAGCACAGTATTTTTTATTAAAATAGATACATAATACAGGATACATCAATAAAATTAGAGAAAATTTGGGCTCAGAAGCAGATAAGGTAACCACTGTCTTTGTGAGGTGAAGGAGGAATGTTCTATGTGGGTGAAGCTTTTTGAAGTTTTCAGCTCCCCGTGTTTCTCTGTGTCGACATCTTAAACCATCAAGATTGTCATATTATAATCGCCAGTAGAGTCATTATTTTTTATTAAACTTAGAGAATTGCTTCTTCTTCTTTTCTTTTTTCTTTTTTATTTTTGTGTGCGCATTGTGGATTGGGGGGCAGATAGATCCATTTGTCACATATCTCTAGGATCTTCTCGATTTTTCTAAGATCTTTTTCTAATTTTTTTACTTGCTTCAATATTTGGAAGTTAGCTTGCGCCATGTGCATCATATATGTACAAGTCTATAATGTTTTATCATGTATAGAATTGAGTTGAATACGATTATGATGTCACTATGACCTCGTTGGTTGGACTAATTGACCGGAACCCGGTCTCTTATAAGGGTCAGTAAACAGGCTGAGTGCAAAAAAAATTTATAAGGGTCATCATCAGATCCTTAAAAAATGCCAGTACTAGAAAACACAACTACAAATGCATATATATATATATATATGTATCTTATTGCCTTTGAGCATTTATCTTTTGCACATATAAGAGAGAGATCCAAACGGGTCTTAAAACCAGTAAGAAAACAATCATCTAATGCAATTTTGAGGAAACCATCTGCAACAATATTTCAAATGCATAATCCAGAAACCAAAGAAGGACAAGCAAGAAGCGAGAAAAATAAGAACCATATTACAAAATAATAAAATAACTTTTATTATTGTAACTCCTTAAACATTGGAAGTTGTGACTTTAAATCGAAGCATAAAATAACTGACATACCTGGTACCCATTCCATTCTGCAGATGAAGGAACGCCTTGGGTTGGTGGAAACAGCATTGGCACAAAAGGAGCAGTCTCATTCAACGTTCTTGGTGAAGACCAGGATGCAGATGATTGGGATGCACCTTGCAGTGAAACAGATCCATTATTACCAAATCCAGAAGGATCACCTCCTCCAACTGCTGTGGGATCAGGATGATTAAATCTGCAGTTTGATCCGTACTTGCAGGAGCCATTACGCATGTAGTAGGGACATTCCTTCTCTCCCTGAAATTAGTCTTAACTAGGTCAGAATATTTTTAGATAACTGCTTCAAAAGATTATAAAAAGTGACTACAGATATGCTTTTATACAGAAATAAATAAAAATAACACAGTATATTATAAACCACAAATAAATAACTTTTTTTAATGAAAGAAATAATACCGATCGGATAGGCAGGCCCAGAAAGTTAAGCTCTAGAATTGGAGCTATTTGAGTTTTTCCTCTACTGTGATTATATCTACAAGCTTTTCCAAATTTACAACCCCCTGAAGTCAGGTAATACTGCAACCAGCTCAAGAGAAGGATGGTAACAACACAAGAACTGTTATTAGTACAACACTACCATGCATATTGTACTGGTTTAAAGAGTTAAAACAACAAGGTGAAGCAAATGTCAGTCTAATCTTAATAGTATAAATGAACGGTATTATTTATTGGAGAAGAATGGATAACACTTCAAGGAAAAACAACAGAATCAACAGCAGACCTAATACAACTAATTTCAGTACACAAAACAGAACCTACAGAACAAACTTTTCTAGTAGATGATTTTGAATCCCTGAACCCATCCATTTCTCTTTCCAGGCACCACCTATAGAATTACAACACCATAGAATATTCAACTGTGTGATAAACGTTTCACCCCTTCTAAAATATTTAATGACGTTTAATGTATATGAAATACACACGATCAACACATATTCTTAACAGGAATGACCCAAACAACACTAGTAAATATGGATAACAGCTCTCAGTTAACAGAGTTTACTTCTTTATAACTGTGCAAGTGCTAAAATAATGCCCAATACTTATTATTTTCAAATGGAAGTTCTAGAAAATGATTTTGCGCCAATATCATTGAACAACTAACAAATCCTAAGCAGAGGACATCTACCATCTACTAGGCCCACATGAATGATAAAGTTTACAGAACTATATAGCATGTTCTCAGATTCATTTTTAATTTTCTATAGTTTACTGTTAGATGAACTTGCAAGCACATAACCTTGATACTGTCAAACAATTCAAATGAAAGATTAGAATAAGAAAACCATGAAAACCCTTCTTGTTATGCTAACTAGTTCTTTTGATTATTATACCACATCCCACTCAACCACTAATAGGCCTGAGATTGTTTTACACACAAAATTCAGGATTTGTGTGCGTGTGCACAGACGAACATACAAGCATTGAACGATTCGAGGAAAGAGGGGTCTCCAGAACGGAAGAAACAAGAACAACTCTCAATGCTGTAGCAACTTGGAATGAAGGATCCACCTTTTTATTGCTTTAAAGGGCTTCAACAATAGACTAAAAAAATTTCTTCCGATCGTGAGCATTCCATTACAGTCCACTATGAGAACAGCAACGAAGCATAATTATGTTTTTTTTTCTGTTTTTTCATTTTCTAAAGTTCAGGCAGGATATCAATAGAGAGTGCAACTTGTATCCTCCAATCCACCAACAAAATCAAAACAGTTCACTTAATGTTGATGTGCCAAGATCTCAAGCTTATTTTCCATGCACAAAATATAGATTACAATCAAAAGTTTTTGGCTGCTAAATTTACAATACTAAATTTTGCCCCAACTCCAAGGTTCCTTAGCCCTTTGCTAAAAACTACCTTAACACAGATGAACTAGTCTGAGGGATGAACTAATGCCTATGGAACATTTACACTGCATATTCAAACATAAGAAAGAAAAATAATTGAGAAAACGTGAAAAACCTTATTGAAACATTCTATCAACATTTGCCCATATGTTTGGTTCCATAAAAATGTAGGATATCACTCTAGATTGGGTTAAAAATGATTTATGCAGCTTAACCCAATCAGTTGGGAGCTAAGGCTTCTTAAGTTCACGTTTTTTTTTTCCTAGTTGATACTCACACGCCACCCCTCCAAAAGTACACGATTCCAAATTAAATGGTACCCCAGTAGTTGGGAGCTAAGTTCATGATCCCAAATTAAATGGTCCAAGCTTTTTTACGTTTTGCCGACGAATCATCAGCTGCAACCCGTAGCCAGGCCGTCTGAGGAGGGAGAGGGGTTTGCTTACAAAAATAATACCCAAAAAAAAAAACCTTTTCAGTACGAACGCATGAGGGGCATGACGATTGTCAATTCCTCTGTCTGAAAACTATTCATGCATCCTAGTGATATCCTGGGGCCTCCACAGACCCGCAAGACTTCCAATTGTCATTTGAGTCTTGGAGCTAGTCAGTATAATTTAGAGGTATGAGTTTGCCTTTCAACTAAAAATACTAGCTGCTTCGTAGAGATAGGACATAAAGACTAACAAGGCATTCAAAAAGACACTGAAAATGAAGTGAACTGATTGCTCTAGTTATTCCCGGGCTCAATCAAGGTCGAGAGTAAGCATAACCCACTTCTATCCTACTGTATTTTTGTATGCATCCTTGCATTTTGGTATAATTTTTCTCCCCTTGTATGTTCTAGATTGCACTTGAAATAATTCTCAGCCAAATTCTTCAGATAAGAAATATCACTTGTCAAGAAGAACTGAAGAAGGAATAAAAGTAAAGGACAGAAATCTTCTAAAAGAAAATACCTAAAAAAACCAACAAAGAAGACCAATGAAAGCTGAAAGAAAAGATGGCAATGGGGGTAATAATAACAATTGAATATTTCCAGTATTCTGCATGCCTGGCTACTTGGCTAGAAATTAGCCTTAGCAGTTAGCACTTCCACTATGAGCATTTAACTAGGATTTGATTATGAGGAGACAAGATGTCACTCTCCCACAATATTGCTGAAGCTTCCAACTTCTTCTCAACACTTAAGCTATGTCACCTGGACTCGGGTACACATATTCGGTGCAGGTATGTGTCCTCAAACAAATAGTAAAGCATAAGATTGTCAAAGGCTTTTCCTAATAAAAATTAGAATAATACTTGGGATTGGAATAAAAAGCAAGTAATTTATCAATACTAAATATTTTATAACATCTCAACTCAACAACCCAACTCTATTTTCAACTATTAAAGTTGGCTATATGAATCCAATTTTCAAATTCCATTTTGTCCATGTATTCCATTACTTTGTAAACCAAATAATAGATATTAACTGAGTTGAAACTATTTTCCACAAGCAAAAATAATCATAGAAAAAAGTTGTGCAGTAAACAAAACTATTAATCTACTACTAAAAGAGCCATGGGTTTAAAGGAACTCCTAGGATAGATACCCAAACATGCTCACTGTACTTGGTATATTGAGTAATACATTACTGAATTTCAGTTCGGGCAGCCACTTAGTACAAATAAAAATATAGGTGTGTACCCATTCATTCCTCCCAGCAAACTTGATTACAGAGACCATAATTGGTAAAGCCATTCTTTAACATTATTAAGTTTCGGCAAGAAGCTAAAAACTTTACAAATTAGCCATCAAAGGCGAGCATGTAAAACAGCCCCAGCATAAGAGTTCATGAAGTATGGGTACATAAGTATATGACAAAGGCGTAACCTGAAAACCCAGTTACTTTGTGCTTTATGGTTGAAGCCGATTAAGTATTAAGTAACTCCAGTTATACTCATAAAAAATAATAATAATAATAATAAATAAAAAAAATTAAGTAACTCCAGTTATAAGGCACATTTCTAGATTCTCAAAATCAAACCTCTTAATCCTCCCATTAAGTGTTCTGCTGAAACAGCGAAAACTAATTCTCAGCGAGCGACAAAAAACACAATCGTCAAAGTTAGCCAGAACCAAATGAGCTCATAAAAGAAAATCTTATGATTCTTCACAATTTTAAAAGAGAAATGCGTATATATAATTGTAAGAATAATAACCTTGCATTCAATCTGCCCTGGCCTTTCTGTATTTTCTTCCATATCCTTTACCTTCTCCTTAGCACCCTTCAATAAAGCAAGAACCACAAAACCATAGAAGAACAATTACCATCCACATACAACAAACATGTCTGAATCTTCCAATTGATGATATATCAATCTATCATTTCTAAATTCAAACAATATAAAAAAGGGCTCTTGTGCACAACCCAATCGAATAGTAAATTGGTACCTGATTTCTCCTTCTAAGAGGATGATTAAATTTGCAATTGGATCCAAACTTGCAATTCCCTGTTTTCATATAATAGGAACAATCCTCGGCATCAGGTCTCAGTGGATAGTGGTACCTTCTATACTTCCCGTCCTTGGAGCCCGCCATGTCTGTGGAGTCCCCTCCAAAACCCTCTTCCTCCTCGTTCTCACTCTTGTCATTGTCATTGTAAATGTCATTCCTCTCGTAGTAATTCTTGAAATCCATTTCCACATTCTTGTTCTCATCATAGTTAACCATTTTGTCTTCTTGGTTGCCATCATTCCAGTTATCGTACTCTTCATGTTCCACATCTCTTTCACTCAGTTCGTTCTCTTCGCTCTTAACATCCTCTTCACGATCCGCATAGACTGTATTCTCCTCTTCCATGGTTAACTTCTGGAACTCTTCAATGATGATCTGCTGAAAGAAAAGCTCTTCATTGAAGTCCTGCTGATTCTGAAGCTCTTCAACGGTCTCTTGATCCTGAAGTTCTTCATTGATCGTTTGCCGATTCTGATGCCCTTCATTCATCGTTCTCTGATCGAGATCATCAGCCAGAGGTGGAGGATCGAGAACTGGATCGGTATCAAGAAGATGTGATGAATCAGTCGATTGAAACCCTAACCCTAATTCCTTTTGATGTTCTTGGTGAGATTCGTGTGTGCCCTCAACAGAGTAGGGTTTCGACATGGAGTTTTCTTCAGCGCCTTCCATTCTTTCTCCACATTCCAAACCCTAATTTAGCATTTTCAAGGAAGCAGAGCCTTGTTAGAGGTGTGAAGCTCCGATGGATGTAGCGAAACAAATGAGAGAGAGTAGTAGAGAGAGAATAAGTGTACTTGTTGCTTTTTCGGCTTCTGATACATATACATAAAGTATACACATACTTATACATGTGGATGTACAAACGAATATATGACGTTTGAATATATATATACACACATATGTATTTTAGTACTCACTACATGCTTTTGTTACACATCAAGTATTGCACATTAAACATATATATGTAGTGAGATGTGGGCATTAAACAGCTTAACCCAGAAAACAAATTTGATTTGCCAAAGTTTTCTCCTGTTTTCATAAAGGGAAATTGAAAAATATCCTACTCCCGACTAAATCGACACCAACATATGTTGAACCAAGTGCATTGTTATTCTGAAAACAGACTTCGAAAATTCAGAGAATAGAAAACAGTTTTCAAAAAATAATAAAAAACAGTTATCCGAAAACAGGCATTTTTATAATTAAATTGAACAAGTAGAGTTTTTTTTGTACAATTTTCTACTTTTAGATTTCTGTTGTTCTTAAAGTTACAAATTAAGTAAGGTCTTACTTTGCACAAAATATAAATTATTGGATACTTCATTTTTCATATAAGTAATCATTTTCTATTTATAAAATTATAGAGAAATTTATTCGTTGCAGTTTTTTTTAAAGTTCAGTTAAAAAATAACCGTTTTCACGTGATCTTTAATTATTTTTATCAAAGTAGATTTTACTCACTCTACTATAGATTTTTGAAATGTACATTAATGATAAAAATAAAAACTAAAATAAGAAACAAGTGCAACAATCATTTTAGTGCAACTGTCTAACGAGAAATGATTCTTGCACTAAATAATTGTAGTGAATTACTGTACATATTCTTCTAATTGGTCAATTATGCAACAAATACATACTCTTTTAGTGCAACCGTCTAACGGGAAATGATTCTTACACCGAATAATTGTAGTGAATTATTATACATACTCTTTTAATTGGTCAATTATGCAATAAATAAAAAAAATGGAGCCCACCACTAAATTATAATTGGTATAAATAATCCATTAAAAATTAATTGATTAGACCATTCACTATGTGTTTGGTGTGAGTATCAATACTCTTGTCTAATAGTTTTAAATAATTGTATCATTTTTCAATAATATAAAAAATAATAATAATAATAATAATAATAATAAAATAAAAATGTATCATTTTTCATAAAATTATGTTCGTATAGTAATATTTTGTATTTGAGAAAAATCATATACCAATATTTTATAAATACAGACACTACAAGTCCACAAGACACAAAAATTGAAAACATGCTTAAAAAAGGGATTTACAATATCTTTCCTTGTCATTATTGGACCAAAGTTGGTCCAAACACAACACTGATAGTGTGATGCAAAGTGGCCTTTGACATCGATTGAGGACTGGTAAGTCAAGTTGGACATATTCGAGAGTCTTATGGACCCTAGTTTCGTCATTTAGAATGGTGGGCATCGAAGACAAATGAACCATGCATTAATAAATAATAAGGGTCAAGCGCACAAAATATTTTTATAGTATATTTATAGTACATATCACATTATTAATATACAAAAAGTATTTTTAATGTTTTAATTTTGTGTAAATAAGTCCATCCAATATATTTAAAGTATACTTTCACTAAATTGCCGTTAGTGAATTATTTTATAAAAAATATATCATTTTGTAAAATGACCAAAATGGGTACACTTCAATATTTTTGTGTGACGACCTTTTTTTCCTCATCAGTTTTCCCCCTTGAGCACCCTAAAAACAAAGGCCGAGACCCTCAAATCAAATTTTCTCATACTTATACATTGAGGGTGATATATAGTTATATAGTTAGATATAGAGAGAGAAAATGTGAGGCAGAAGATGACTAGTGGTGCAAAATTGCCAAATCCCTCATATTTATAATCCTCTCTCAACTTTCTACTAATCACATTACTTAACCACAATGTCTCTCGTTAATTACCCCATTCCTCCAAGCAACTTCTATGAAATTACTTTAAGGCAACAACTCATCGAAAATATAATAATGAGGCCCTCCACTTAGGCCCTCGCCATTCCAGTGCAGTTGGGTCACCTCTGACCCACACAAAACCTCTCAATCCAACACTCAAAAATGTCTGAAATGGTTCCAAATGGTTTCTAAGGATTCTAAACCCAAAGAAATTGTAATGTTTTTTATATATTATTTTATTGGCCATGGGACCCTCACTTGTTTTATTCATTAATATAACTTATTAGTCATTTGGCTGACTATCATATACACTCTCTACTGCTCCATTCTCTGCCTCACGTCAGTTTCCTTTTCTTTTTTCTCTTCTCTACAAACAAACTCCGATCTGGCCATTTTTATTGGGAATTTGATAGTGCCGTTTGCGGCAAAATAAAGAGCTCAGCGAGATCTTCAAGTAGGTGTAAACAATTTCTTCTTTGGTGCATCCTTGAATTTTCGAATCTAGGGCTTGGGAATTGGGGGTTTTCTCCTCCTTTGAGGTAGGGGTCTTTAATCCTCACTTTCTTGCTCATTTGTGAGTTTTTGAACTTTAATTGTTGTTAAGTATGATTAATTTGAATTGATTATTTCTTAAATGATTTAATTGTGTTTATGAAGCATTCAATTATGTGTATTTGTTGATTTACATAGAAAACATGCCCTATTTGAATCTGATTGCCTTGAAAATGATATAATTATTGTAATTGAAATCTATACTTATATGTGTTGATGGAATTATATGGAGAAAAAAAAAATGCCTAAGTGTTAATTTTCATGCCTATTGTTTATTATTTTGATAAATATGATTATGAGAATGCTTGTTAAATTATGTTGTAGAAAATTTTATTTCCTTGCAAATGGCAAAACATGTGACATACATTCATAACCTTGGGCATGAAAAAGGGCAAATTATTTGAAATGAAATAGGATTGGGTTTTTTTTGGGAAGAATTTGAATAAAATGATTTTTGAGAAAACCAGGTCGACGCGGAGTCACCAAAGGGCCGGTGTGTTAATATAACCTAGAGGGAACTAAGAAGATCGCCCTAGCGTGGTTGAGCTAGCTGGGCCCGAATGACGCCGCGGGGGTACCAAGGGTCAGGAACAGTAGCCAATCCTTCTCTCGTGTCGTTGCGGAGTCACCAAAGAGCGGGTTATATTAACAGTTTGAAAAGTGATGATTTGGAATTTTAAAAATGGGGAGCGACATACATGGCATCACATATCAAGGCATGGCATTATTTATTTTGAAATTGAAAGTGATGTTGTATTCTCTCCCGGCATAGCATGACCCCTATTCTCTATTTATATTCATTATTTGGTTTCATGGGGTTACAAAAGATGTGTCTTAGGCACCACCTACTGAATAATTTGCTCACCCCATTATATTTAACATTTTTTTAGGACTCGGGAAAGAAGCTGTGGACACTGAACCATCACAAACTTAAGGAGGACTAGGAATATTTTTTTTTTACTATCTTTTGTATTTTGCTACACTTTTGTAAAGTCTCAAAACCATAGTGAAGTGTACACATTTTGCAAGCCATGGTCATGTATTGTAAACTATAACTCTTGTTGGTATTTTAAAGGGAAATGAGATTATGTAAATATTTTGTGTTGAATGGAATGACGATGATGGGCCAACTTGAGGAGGTTATTGATGTTATTGTTTTGGGAAATGTATTATATATATATATATATATATATATATATATATATATATATATATATATATATATTTTTTTTGTATTGTGTGTTGGGACAGGTTGGATAATTTTAGTAAAGGTCATGTCAAATTTTTTTTTTTTAATTGGTATCAGTTTACGGTCGTTACAAATTTTGGTATCAGAGTGATGGTTCGAAAACCATTAGGACGATGGGTAGAGGCCTGCATAGGGTTGCATGAGAAGTCATTTGCATAGTTTATGTGATTATTTGTTAAAGTATTTTGCTATATGAAAAAGCACGCTTAACTGTTTACTTACTTACGTGCTTATGTGCTTATATGCTTATATTAATGTGTTCATTGCATAGTCTTACATGCTAAGTGTTTGTGCAGTATCCTTTATGTTGAGTTGTTCAGACCTTACTGTTATTGTTATTTAACCGTTTTCTTGTTTTATAATACGATGCCACCACGAAAGGAACCCAGAGGTGTTGGCTCAATACCGACAAGAGGCCGGTGATGTTGGTGAGAGCTCTAGCTCCAATCCAACGGAGCATGTCGATGAGGATACGCTTCTTAGGGACTTGATTCCCCCTAGAAGTGTTCCTACCAGAAGGGATAATGTTGAAACACCCGTTAAAGAGGATGAAGGTTCGGCGGAACTAGCATTAAACCGTTTGTTACAGAAAGCCTTGAGGGCTATAATTGCTACTCATCCGCAGCCGGTACCACATCCAGTAGTTCAGGTAGAGGAGATGCCAGCATAGAAACGTCTCAAGATTATTAAAGGGTTTTCTAAGTTGTTGCCAGTGATGTTTGAGGGTGGTGCAGATCCAACGGTAGTGGACGACTATATGGACCAAAGGGAAACCCATTTAACTTATATGGGTGTAACGGATGATCACTTGAAAATCATCCTAGCCACTTACAAGTTTTCAAATAATGCCAGGCTTTGGTGGAAGTCAGTCACCAACCGGTATAAAGTGGAGGAGATGAGTTGGGAGATGTTTAAAGAGCTGTTTTATGAAGAAAAAAAAAATCCGGTCACTGAGAGATGGGAGCTGAGGGATCAGTTTAATGGCCTTATCCAAGGCAATATGTCAGTGATGGAGTATGAGAACAAGTTCACCTCTCTCTCTCGCTTTGCTCCATAGATGATGAGCAATGAAATTGATAAGACTCGGAAGTTTGTCTCCGGGCTTGATTACAAAATGAGGCCATTGATAACGGCACAATACATCAAGGTTTATTCAGAGGCAGTGGAAAGAGCATTGATGCTAGAGGCGGAGGCCAAAGATAAAAATGCAAGAAGGGAACAGTGGAAGCAAAAGAGAAATGTAGGGTCTTCTTCAGAGGGACCTTCATGGAAAAGGAACAGAGGTGGTTTGTCTCAGTTTCAGGGGCAGCAGTCTA